TGGGGAAAAAAATAATCTTTCTGGTTTAAAGCTTTAAAGGGGCCTCCTGCTTACACTACCAGCAAACAGGTATGGACTACAAAATATACATCGAGTATACTAAGTGTTCCAAGTAAGCTGCAGATTTCATATATATATATGAGCTTCTGGAAGCTGTTTTCTGAAAGCAAGACTGAAGGGAGATAACTAGAGTATCTCTTGTTTAGCACTCACCAACATTCATAAAGTTTCTCCATTTTCAAGTGTCCTTTCTTTGCATACAGAGAAATTTAATAATTCTTCATATGGAACTTTCTAATATATAGAAATGCCTTGGTCCTTGGTTGATGTATTTACAAAAATAGTATAGATTTTTAATGCATTTATTGAGCTTATACTGGTAAGGTATGGCTCAATGGAAATGGAATAGGCAGAAATTCATCCACCTCCGTTGCTGTACATAAGAGAAAAGGGCTCCTAAAAACATATTACCTGCACTTTACATGTTACTGTCACCAGCAGCACAGTGATAAGTCTTGAAGTACAGGAGTTCATCATGGCACTTCAGCCTAGAAATATCCATAATCATATCATGTCTGCATATTCATAGCTATAAAAGGTGAGATTTACTTTTACACATACACACACACAGAGGGCAGGGAGAGGGGGGAGGGAGAATATATTTCTACATTTTCTAGAGAACAAGTGCAATGGTTCAGGTGTTGGATAGGGATGTGACATATTCAAATTCCAGTCCCTGCTTAGCCATAAAGTTCACTGAGTGACTTTGGGCTAGTCACTCACACTTTTAATCTAACTTACCTCACAGTGGTTGTTGCTGTGAGGATAAAATGAAGCATTGTAAGCCACCTTGGATTCTTCACAAAAGGAAAAAAAGGCAGGACATAAATGCAATGTAATAAATATATATTGCATAGCCGAAATCGTTACCTAACCCCAATCCTAAACATTCCATCATGAAAAGACATTGAGAAAAAAGGAGACAAACCACTAAGGAAATATCACTGTTAATTTTATGTGACATAACTATAATCCTATGCAGAGTCATCTGGTAGTAAGCTCCTTGAACTCAGCAATGCTTTATCAACTATGCAGATAGATTCCACTTAAAAAACAAACTGAGCTTTAACAAGACATTCGGCCTATTGAAATGCAACTTTTAGCTTTTAATGCAAACAAACTAGCAAACAATTCTAAACTGCAAGCAAAAATGCTGCCAAAAAAAAGGAAAGTATCAGTCTCTGATCAAGTCTTTATCTGGTTCCTCTACACTAAGCTGCTACAAACAATAGTAAATTGGAAAGCCTAGTTAGCCTCTCAGGCACTTGCCAGAGCAAAAAGAATCCATCATTATCCTACTGTGCCAGCAATGACATCAGTTCTACTCCAGGAAAAAAAGACCTGGAGCTCCACTCCTTTGCCATCCCCCACCTGCCACATCTCTGATAATTGTAGGTTAAGTTGGAAGATATATTTGGGAATATGAGGAGGGGAAATCGACACAGAGCTTAGCTGCTCATATCCTCTAGCTTAAGGTTCATACCCTTGCTGTTTCTCTCCAGTTTTCTTTCAAAGATCTCAAAAGCAGCATCCACAGATAATCATATTTTCATTAGCAGCAGACCTACTGCATATACCAACATATAAGACAGCCCTTGAAACCAGAAATGGCAAGAAGAAAAATCAGGGGGATGTCTTATATGCAATGTGAGAATTTTCACCTTATTATACTGTGGGGTTTTTTTAAAGGTAAATTAAGACAATTGTATTTATGAGCTCATTTTTATTAATATTTATTTAAAAAATACTGATATGGGGAGCTTGTCCTGTGTTGCATCATGAGCCTTGTGCACAGATCAGTCCCAAGTCCAGCACCAACCCCACCCTGATCCAGGCTGCCAGCAGCAGCTGAAGAAGGGGAACATTCCCCATGCAGCAGCCTGTGAAGAAGCACAGCACTGACAACATGGTGTTTCTCCCTCTCTCTGGGGCACTGGTGTCATCTTATACACAAGTTGTCTTATATGCTGGTATATATGGTACTCTGCTTCAGAAATACAATGACAGCATGTACCTTCATGTGTTTTTTTGGACAGGAATTTATGTGGTTGTTATCGATCATAGACTATCCCTAGTACTATTAAGGAAAAAAAATCTACATCTTTCATTTCTTTAGCAATTCCACAAGCTTTAACTATGAGATAAATTTATCCCATGGGAATTTTATTTCCATAGTAACCACAGTAATTAAGGAGTACTGTAAAACCCATAGTAAAATCCAATCTATTTGTATGATAGTATTTTCTGTTTTATAGAGTAACTATGACCTATTAAGGAGAAAAATATGTACATATTAACTGAGTTCACATATCATCCTGTCACCTTATAAAAGGAATAACCTGCAAAACTCAGGTTTCCATTAATTTTCCTAAAGCCACAAAGTGCATAAAGATCAAAGTATTCTGAATGCTGCTTTAAGGAACCAATTCCACCACTGTTCCACAACTTAAGGTTGATAGCTATATGCTGTCTATTGGGCAGTATAATAAAAAAATCAGAAAGTCACTAGCAACTGGGTCCCACTGAGGTTGTGGTGCAGAGGAAAGGACAGCTCAGGATAGAGTAGACAAATATATGGCATAAAAATGGCATAGAAAAGGAAAAGTGAGGCAAATTAATGTTGCAATCATACCTGAAAAGGGATGAACAAGAGCCATTCCTTTGAATTCACACCAGTAACCTACTGTACAGAAAAGGAAACTAAGCCAAACTAATTTAAGAACAAGCTACAAAGTAGACTGAAAAGTAGGAGAAAACAGCAAAAAAATCAGAGGAAAATTGGGGAAACATACCAAGAAATCCACACAAGAAGGCAACTTATACACAAAGACCTCATCATCACCTGCATGCCTCTGGATACAGATTTTTAAAATTCAAGAAAAAGTTGAAAAAGAAAATACCAAGTGGTGAGCCACAGCAGAGAAATTGCACCCTTTCCCTATTATCTCTTACATGCACCAAACCATTAGTTAAAATAAGTATTTTTGGAAAGAAGTTTCAGGGTATCACTGCCACCTTCTCTTAAATTCACAAAAGAAGCAACTTACTATTGGCTGCTGCTCCTTTTGCTCCATTGCATCAAGAGCCTTTTCAGGCATGGAAATACTAACATTCAAAACAACTTCTACTAAATGGATTGTTTGTGGGTATTGAACAAATAGCTGAATCCTGATTGGCTCTGTATATCTGGAAATTCAGCAGAGCTTCCAAGAGGTTTGATCTGTTTGTCTACTTCTATCCTCGGGAACATCATTATCAATACACAATTTCTCAGCCAGCCCAGGAACAGAAAAGAGCAACCAGAAAGCAGGCAATCATGATCAGCAGCAGTGGCCAGCTTAGCCTTGGCTCAGCCACTGCCAGCAGCAATAACAGAGGTCAGGAGAAGGCTGTATGGTAAGTGAATAACTTGCTATCACTGAAGGAAGGAATACTGGGAGGGCAGCCCCTGCCCTTGGCAAAAAATGAAGATAAAAGAACAGCCAAGAAATGGAAAGAGAGAGGGAAAATACAAAAGAGGGCAGAATTTAAACACAGTGCCAATGCCTTTCCTTATGTGATTTACACGGCAGAACAAGGGAGAAGACAAGACAGCTGTTCTGAAGGCACTCTCCATGTAACTCCTGAAGAAAAAGCCAAATAAGCAAAATGCTCTTGCCAGGTAGGTTCAATGCTTAAGACAAACAGAGTCCACTTTCTCCATCAAATTAAATTAGTATTTGCAGTAAGATTATGTCAACCCATTCTGACTGATCCTTTCCCCCTTGTAGAGTGTCTGAGAAGATGGACTTCGAGCTCTCCATTGATCAGGGCAAAAATACACTTCCCCCCTTTGGTCTATTTTCTCACATTCAGCAGATTGAGAATACCATATTTCACACAGCTCACTCTGAACGGTGTATTTCTTAATTGTGTATAATAAAAGCAGATTCATCATTGGCCAATTGTTAACAGTCATCTCATGCTCTATTGTTCCTAACTAGGTAGTCCTAGTTCTAGAACTAGTGGTGAAGAACTGTAAAGTATCTTTGTTTTTTGCCCTTTCTCTAGTGGAGGCTACTGCTAAGCATTATGAAATACGGCTGCTCCTGAACACAACTTAATTATTATACCTGATAGTTAATTAAACTAATCTTACATTTATAGAGGAAGTGGACATCGAGAACAGAAAGAAAACATAGAGGTATAGAGATGCTGAAGTGGGAAGAATGTTAGAAGGCTGGAGGTAAGGGGACAAGAAGTAAGGATTTGTGTGAAGGCTTTTTGTGGGGGTCTGGCTTTAATATTTTTTGGGCAAATAGCCTTGCTTTTAAACTCACCTTATTGGGAAACATATTGTACCTTGCTTTTTTGTGATGGGCGAGCGGGTGGTCAGCCCAATTCCAGTGATTCTGAGTAAGGGGAGATATGACCCTAGGAGCAGGACAGGCCAGCATAGGAGAAGAGAGGTTTTTGTAATGGTTTACTATATTTATTTTATGCTGCTACTGCCATGTTAGAATTTTAGTTTCCAGATAATTTAATTTATTATTGCTTTATAATTTGGTTATTTATATGGTTTTATTATTAAACAAATGTTTAATAATAATTTTATTATTATTAAAATTATTAAACAAATAATTTTATTGTACTATTTTATTGATTTTCTTTGTATTGCTTCATATTGAATTGTTTTAATTGCTGTACCGTAAGCCACCCAGAGTGCCTCACGGCTATAGGTGTGGCATATAAAAGTAGTGAAATGAATAATAATACATGCATGCAGAACCAAAAGAACTCCTTAATGCTCTGCTTCATATGGCAAATTCTCTAGGAGTTTTTAATGCATTCCCTAGCATGACTTACCTGAATTGAACTGCTTAGCATCTCGTAGACTCAAATCAGTTTAAGCTTCAAAAGTAGCAATCATGAGCTAGAAATAAATACAGAAAGATGCATACCTGTAGTATCGAGACTGCAGATACGTTGAACAGACGGTTTTTGATACATGGCTAGCAGATCCAAAGTCGATTACCTTAACTCTGTAAGGTTGCCGGACAGGATCCACCAACATAATATTTTCTGGTTTGAGGTCAGCGTGTATTAAACCAAGACTTTTTAGTTTTTTCAGTGCAGTGGCCACTTGTTGCAGAATAGGCCGTATTACTTTTAGTTGAAGAGGACTAAATTTGTTTTGTTTCAGAAAGTCATATAAATTCTGTTCCAACATCTCAAAAACTAAGCAAGTGTGGTTGCGATGCTGAAAGCACTCATAAGCTTTCACAAAATTAAATTCATCAGCATTCTCTGTACTGAGTCTTGCTAATATGCTCACTTCTATTTGTCCTTGACGTGCGTAAGACGGATGGTTCTTCAGAATTTTGATTGCCACAATCTCATTTGTCCCTCTTTTCCAGCACTTTACTACTTGTCCAAAAGTCCCTCGCCCAAGGAAATCGAGAACCTCATAAGTATTTTTCACAGAACATAACACCTCATGATGCACTAACTGATAATCTCCATCACCATTGGTACCAGTTGGTTTTGAAGTTGCAGTAGTTGTCACAACTGTCACTGGGTTTCCCAAGTTTGTTTGCAACATTGCAGGCAATATAGGCAGTTCATCCACAATCTGCATTGCGCCACTTTGATTCTCCAACTCTTCACTCTTACGCTTCAGTCCACATCGCTGGGGGCGGTCCAAGACGTTTAACTCACCTTCTTGTGTTTCAGGCCAAGGTGCTTCCACTTGAGGTTGTTGTGCCTGCACCGCTAATATTTTTGTAGCACCTGCAATATTTTTTAAAGCAACAGCACTGGTCTGCAACAAAAAAGTCTCTCTTTGAGGTCTGTCAAATAGGTTTGTAGCCTGCAAGAAAGTACCAACCCTGCTGGGAGGTTGAACGATTCCAAAATTTTTACCATTCACATAGATCTGTGGGTAGGATCTTTCACGGTACACACAACTACTTGGCTCCACTTTGAGTTTCTTCACACTACAAAAGGCACTTGACTGAGTTTGATAAACATATGGTGGATATACCAAGACTTGTGAGGCCATACCTAAATGGAAGAAAAAAAGGAAGATAAATAGTTCGTCATTTTTAACATGATAATATTATTCACTGAGCCAAAGAAAAAAATTACCTTCAAAACTTTGTCATATTTATTGGAGTCTTTGTTCATCTCTCACAAACAAAAACAAACTCTTTTGTACATTAGAGCTTATACAATGAAGTTGCTGTATATTTTATACTGTCAGTATATCAGCACTATATACTACTAGTTTTTACCAGTTTTATAGAACAAGTGTTTTTACAGGCATATTAAGCTGTACAATCCTTTTTATCACCATCTAACTACTTGCCCAAGATACAAAAATAACTATACTACAGTGATGTTGGACAACATCTACCATTAACTGCTTTGTAGTAACTTATTTACTTGTAAACCAATATCACAAATATAAGATTAAAAATGTCCATACCAACACCATTGATCATTACTGGTAAATATGAGTTAGAGAAAAGACACCAGGTGTTATTCCAGTGAGTACAAAACAGATCTATCAAGAGGTGATTAGGAGGATGCATTTGCAGCATGGTGCACCAAATTGTCTCTGGGCTTCCTCCCTGAACCAGCTTATAAGAACAGAAATCTTTGGTCTAAAAAGAGCTTTTATTCGAGCTGTTATTCTCAAAATAAAGCTTAACATAGTATAGTTTGGAACCTGATTAGCATACTCCGTAGTATGAAGTTACAAAGTTATCTTGAACCCAATTTCTGACTGGAGATTAAACAGCTTTTTAAATATATTTTATAAACCAAAGAATGTTATTGGTTTCAATATAAATAAGGGCAGCCCACAGCAACTTAGTTATATCTGGGAAGATATTTTATTTATTTGCTTGCTTATTTATTTAAAGTTTTTATATGCCGTCCAATACCAGTCTCTGGATGGCTTACAAAAAACAACAACATACCAACAAGGTAACGATACACAGACATCTAACATAATGCATTATGCATTCCCAAGCCATTGTCTTATTTCTATTTGTATTTAGCCTTTCTAATTTGCACACTGATGGGAACACACAAAAGTAACTGTGTGTTGTAGTGCGTAAACAGAATATTTTAAGAGCATCATCCTCCCTCCAAAAAAAAAAAAAAAAAAGACTAACAAAGACTAACAGTGCAATCCAACCTGGCTGCCCATAATCCTCCAAAATCTGAGAAATACTGGCATCCTATGGAGTGCAGGAGAAGTGTAAAGCCAAAGGTCTGCACTTTTCCTGCCATTCAAGAGATTTAGATGAATGATTTCAGCCATCTTAAGTGTCTGGTCCCAGAGTGCAAGGAGGAGAAACAGGCTGAGGCAGAACCAGGATGCTGCATATGCTTGTGGAGCCTCCCTCCTGGCTTCTATGCCCTCTGAAATGCCTACAGAAAAATGCCCACTGCCTCAGAGGTTGCTCTTCTAACCTCAGAGTCACAGCAAGAACAGTTCTTTCCACAAAAGCTGTAAGGGCAGCAAGAAGGCACTCCAACTTCTCGCTTCCAAGGTCAATGCTGAGCTTCTGAAACACCTGTGACCATTTGGACAGCATCACGCCCTAAGGGACAAAGTTTTTATTTCTACACAGTATAGGCAAGCAGGCATTTTTCCTACAGACACTTTACATAGCTAACAGCCTGTGTGTCTATCTGAGAAAGACCTGAATATATTTTAGTAAACATGCTATTCAATTATGTCATTCCTACAATAAAATGGAACTGGACAAGTTTTCAAGCAAAAAATCCCCTTCAATTTTACCAACCTGAATTTAACCAAAGCCAACCAAGTATAAATCACTCATTGCTATTTTCCATCAGTGCATACTGCTAAAAAAGTGTGTGCTTGTATTAAACACTACATTCAAGGAGTCAAGGAAAGGTTTGTGTTGCCTCATTTGTGCATACATGTACACATCTTTCCAAAGGATGTTTTTTAGCAAAGGCAGCTGGACGTGGGGGAAAGAAATCATGGCTCACTTTTTTCAAAATCACACCCATTCTTGGGCAGATCAAGACATAATGTAGCATCCACATAGGCCTAAAGTGCTGAGACTGTCAGTGGAGGGACTCTTAGAAATAAGACAGGAGGTTGTATTACATGGTTGAAGTTATGCAAGTCTAGGAGAAGATTAAACAGAAGATTAAACAGAAGACTGCCTGAATAGAAGAGTACCTGGATATTCTATGCACACCAGTTTGAGTTCGTGGAAGAATGGCAGTACAAGATGGTGTACTTTAAGAATAGCCACCACTTATTATGAGAGCATGATCTTTTGAAAGGATACCCTTTATTAAACAGGTAAAAGACTCCACTACAAAAAATAATGCACTGCAGTGAAATATGCCATTTACAAACATTTCCAGCTTTATAATTCTAGTTTCTCCTTTCAACTTGCCACTCCAGTTCAAACACATCTGTACAATAATGATGTTCATTTAACTTTCCAAATGAAATAACACTAAGAGAGCCCACAACTTGCAGGCATATGCAAACAAATTCAGCCAAAGCAAGAGTTTTGTCTGAATGATAACTACACAATCATTCTGCAACTGAGCGTAAGCTGGACCATATGGCCAGTCTGCTAATCTCTTGTGCATTGACAGATCGAAGGCCAGCTGCCAAAGCTGCTCTGCCCCGAATGGAATGAGCCTTGACATGACCTTCAAGCTCAAACTTAAAAGCAAGAAGGAAAAAGAAAAAAATAGAGGTACATAGGCAAATCAACATAAGCTCTCTAATTTATTTGAACAGTACTATCACACTGGTCTAAAACAAAATAATAGATGGAAAGGTCTAGAATATCTGTAGCTCTACAACACTATCAAGGAAAGATATTCTCAACTTATGCAAGACACTTTATGTGACTATTTGTATTAATTATTGCCCTTCCTGATATTTACCCATATCACAACTTCAGATGTGACAATTACTCATAGCTTCACATCTCTGACATACAAGCATCTCACATCTCAAGACATTTCTCTACCTAACCAAGGGTACCTATAGCTCTTGGGAGCAGCTTAACAAGCAGAGGAATGAAAAGATGGCTTTACCGCACCAAACACAGGCCCAGTGGCCAAGGAAAGATGATCAGATCCTAGCTGAATAAACCAGGATATCCTTATACTTCATGCACAGTTCCTTTGCCCCTACTTCACTCCACATTAAAAAGCAAGCTGGGATTCCACAGTTCACCTGTTTCCAATTTAGTCTTCTCCAGAGAAGTGATAGTTAACTGCAGCTTCCTGGATTGCTTGCGTACACAAAGGAAGCAGTGAAGCTGAAGTGCCTGCATGCAGCTGTGTAAAGCTCATGCATATAATAAATTAATAAACCAGGAGTTGATCTTCTAAACTGAGCCATGAAACTTAGTGCTATGTATGAATAGATAAACCATGTTTAAGGATCAGTAGCAAACAAGGCTGATGTGGTTTAAAGTACATTTATGCCTGAATGCAATCATAGTAGTTGGAGATACAAACCTGATCCTAAAGTAATGTCTTGCAAGCACAGGAATGATGTATTTTACAAGCTTACATGTTCTTTCTTCCCATATTACCCTCCCTTGTACTCTCTTGCGTACAGGCTCCCTCCAGCTCACTTTTTTCCCTCTAGAAAGTTTGCTTTGGCATTTTAACTGGCAAGTTATGGGTAGCACCTTATCTCCAAACCATGGTTCACAATACTAAGCCTGAAATAGTTTTGCAAACTATGGCTTAGAGCAGTGGTCCTCAAACTTTTCAGGCTGTCACCCTTTTTCCCCTTGGACAACAGCCCTCATGCATCTTTCTATGTATTATTATTATTATTATTATTATTATTATTATTATTATTACATTTCTATGTCGCCCCTTGCCGAAGCCTCGGGGCGGCTTACAACACAATAAAATACATTGAAATACAATAGAAACATAATAAATTACCATTAAATACAAAAATACAAAAAATACACTGAGTTACAAACATAATAATATAAAATTAAAATTATCAGTATAAAATAAGTAAATAAATAATATAGGAGGAGAAAAGAGAAGGAAGAAATTGCCCTGGCCAGATCATATGTTTTAACAATTAAAACGATGGTCTACTACTCTACTGCAAAATTAAAATGACCAATCCCTGCCTCCCTGGATCTTTCTACCGCCTTCAGGGAGGCAGCCACCCACTTTGGGAATTGCTGGCTTAGAGTCATCACCAACCTTAGCTTGCCACTTCAAGTTTGCAGGGGATGGGGTATGAGGCGAGACTGAGGGAACTGGGTCTCTTCAGCCTGGAGAAGAGGAAACTCAAAGGGGATATGTTGGTGACATGCAGGTATGTGAGGCGATGTCCCATGGAGATGGGTAGAGACCTATTCTCCCCTGCAGAGGAAGGCAGGACGCGCTCCAACAGAGCAAAGCTCAGGGAGCCAAGGTTCCATTTGGATGCCAGGAAGCACTTCCTGACAGTTAGGACCCTGAGGGTGTGGAATGGGCTTCCACGAGAGGTCGTTGAGGCCCCATCGGTGAGGGTGTTCAAAGACAGGCTAGACATGCACATGGTGGGCATGTCATGAGCGGAGCCAGCTGGTGCCGGGGGTCAGACTAGATGGCCCGGGAAGCTCCTTCTGACTGGCTCTGTTTCTATGTTTCTAAGTATCATTGCAAAACCCATTGTTAGAGAAAACCTGGAAATGTAGGCGAGAATGCAGAAGAAATTGAGAAAGGGAGCTAAGACAGGGAGAAAAGAATCATGAGAGCCTGCAGCACATTCAGAGATGACAAACCAAACCATGATTTCATTATGCTTCAAGGTTTTAACCAAGGTTTTACTGACAAACTATGGTTATCACTAATGAAGCAGTGTGTCTGGATTAGGCTATTGTGTGAGACTCTAACTCACTTTCATCGGTCCCACCAAGCCTCTAGTTAAACATATCACACCAAAAAACCCACTCAATGTTGTTTTCTAAATATATTTTTTCCTAAAGCTAGATAAATGTTGTCAGTGTCCTTCACAACAAATATAT